GTCCCGCTCGGCACAGCTCGGGTGCGAGGTGGGGAGCGACAGCTAGCGCCACGCTGAGGCTGAGGCCTCCTCGGGCCGGCACCGGCGCGGCTCCGCGGCTGCAGTGGGGATCCGAACACCACGAAGGCAAGGTGTCGACCAGCGCGCGCGTCGCTCTCATCGCCCGGACGGCGCGGCCCGGTCTCTCGCGCGCGCCTACAAGGAGTACGTCAAGCTGACAGTGTGTGACGCCGAGTGAAAATTTTTGCGTGTGTGCCCGCTTGGATTTCCCGGGGCACAAGTGGTTGTGTGCTTGATTGGGGACAGGAAGGTGGTCGGCGTCTCCACGGCGCGACACCTCGGCGACGAAGACTTCCCCTCCCGCCGCGGGCTCGCCGCGGGCTGACTCCACCCCAAATCCCCTCCATCTGTATCTGCTGCCCCCTACTTTTCGCCACCTCCAGTCGGAAGGCCACCGCCAGGGCTGCCACTTTTAGCGCCCTGCCGCCCCCAACCCCCCGCACCCCCTCCTCCCCTCCGACTCTCAGCAGGCGTTCATTCGGTGGCTAACACTTGGCCGAGTCGGTGCGTGCGCTTCGTGCCCAAGGCGTGCGCGTGCGTGCGTGCGAACATCGTGACGCGTGTGTGTGTGCAGTGCAGTGCCTCAAGATGACCGAGTCTAGGATTGAGTGCAGTGATCAGTGACGTGGTGATTCAGTGATGTGTGATGTTGTGACGACGTCCTGAGGACGTCCCCGGAGGACCGCAAGGACGACGTCGAGGACGACGACGAGGACCCAGCTGGCCCCCTCGGCTTCAGAGTCCCCCACGGCCGACCCCATGAGGTTTGAACAGTCCAACGTCATCCCCGTGTCTCCGCCGTGTACCGACACAGTCATGACTTCGGCGTCGCCTCCGCCGCAGCCACACCACCCGATGGCGTACCAACCCTTCCTGCTGCAGCAGCAAAGGCCCACCGACTTCAGGTGAGCCTTAACTCGGACGCATTGGTGCAGGTCTTAACGACCTCAAAGCGCACCTGCTTGCAACGGTTCAAGAGCTCCTCAGGGTACTTGTCGCTTTGCAATGCTTCTGAAGTATGCTCCAACATTGAAAAGATACCATACACCGCAGCCCTTCATGCCGTTTTCGAGACCGTTCTGTTCTCCTGAAGATCAACTCAACTTGGCACAATCATTTGTCCGACGCTGCTGTCCCGGCTGGCGCTTTGCTGGAGACATCCGCACCGCTGAATAAGGCTTAGCTTAGCAACCACCGCTTTCAAGCCTTTCTTTATTCCGATTCGGCCCTGCTGAGCACGCCGACAACCGTATACCTTTCCATGCTAATTACTCTGTTGTAATGAGATAGGCAGGATTGTCTTCCTCGGTAGGGAAATCGGCGGTTGTCGCCTGGAATGTTTGTTTCCTGTCGACCCGGATGAAATAACTAAACGCCCTAAGTGCCCGGCTCGGGTAATTGACGGTCGGAGAGACTTTCGGGGAACATCCGGGGACCTATCGAACGGACTTTGTGAATGGGAGAGGAAGGCCTTCTCGCTACGTGCGTGGTTCTCACTGCCGGTAATACCCGTGGTTGACGCTGTTTCAGTAATGCGTCTGAGGAAGCAGGGCACACACAACTAAATATGTTTGTTCTTTTTTTGGTACCTAGTTACGTGGATAGCAGGAAAATGATACGTTGTCTTGGCCCGTACAATTACCTTCCTTACCCGAGCGAGGCAATTACCACCCCGTCGATACTCGGTTGTTTCGGACCACCTCTGGGTCGCCGGATTGGGTAACGTCAGTCCGAAAGTGCGATTCCTAACTGGGTTAAAGAATGGGTCGAAAAAAAGAAAAGAGACAACTGTTATTTTGTGCGTATTTTTCGACGAGCAAATTCCTAAGGGTTGTCTGATTTTCTTCGTTTTTCCGAGTACGTATCCGAGGTTCTAATATTCCGTGGAAACGCCCCCGACACGTCAGCTCTCTTTTGCTAGGAAGGCGCGTGATGGCGGTGGTGGCCTTATCAGCTGCTCCACCTTGGTAGCTAACTAACCAGGCACACAGAACAAACATGTGTGAGTGTGTGAGTGTGTTTCGCCCTTCCCGAAAGTCGGGGCCCGTCGCTATCGTCCAGGCACGTCCCGGCCCGCCCGGAGTGCGTTCTCACGGCGAGATGAGGACTCGGTATACGCTCCACGCGGAAACGGGCACGGATTAGGCGGCCAGGAATTTCCGAAAGAGGGAAAAAGGAGATACGGATAAAAATTCCGGCCTTTTACGATGAGTCAATTCCGTCCCGATAAGACTTGATTAATCAGGTCCACCGGCGCATATTTTACGGCAGCGCGCCGCTGGAGCACTACGCTCTAGGGATTCCTTGAAACTCGTTAGGCACGCGGAACACTGCAAAATTCTGCTTCTCCGTATACGCGACGTGTCGAGTAAAAGTCGGCTGTAAGTTTGTGGAACTCATTACAAGCGCGTGCAATTCATAATCCAAGATTTTTCACCGCGTTTAATTTTATTTTTTTCGGAATGCCGCTTTTTGATAAGGGTGAAGGACGCGCCTGTGCGCGAGGTGGACGGGATATTGGCCGGCCGTGACACCACTGCCAGGCGCTGCCAGGACTGGAGGAAAAGGGCGCGCGTGTCCCGCTCCTTTTCCAGAGGCACAAGTGTCGCCCTCCTGTCTTGAGTGCGGAGCTGGCGGGGCCCTTCGACCTCCCCTGCCTCACTTTTCCGCTGTTTTGCGCCGATACATAACATTCTTAGCTCAAAGGGCGCGGCGGCAGGGGCGCGTGTGACACGCACACATTCACACTCACGTGCGCAGGGAGGGAGCCACACCCCGTTTTGGGGCCCGCCCTCGGCCCTCCGCCACTCGCGGGAACTCCTTTGCGCGGGGTAACGGACGGGGTTCGATCTAACTTCGGTGCCGGTCAAAGAAAAGCCTCATGCAAAGTCGATGCGGAATCATGGCGGTCGCATGGCGGCACGCCGCTGCGACCCGCTGGTCTAGCTGTGAATAAGCCAGGCGGCCGATACGTACCGAACCGTTCCGAACGACGCGTCAATAATGCGCGCCGCGCCAGCTCAGCACAGCCCCATTTGACTAGACGCGATTACGTTTCGAAACGCGTCGGAAACGCGACGCCAGAGGGCGCTGCCAGCGCGGCGACTCGCGAATTCCAATCACCGCAACTCGCTCGCCGAACTCGCCCTGTCCTTCTCGCACTCGCGTTGGGGTCCGTAAGGGCTGCTGTTCGGTCTCCTCTCCTGCCGGGGGTGAGGTCTTTATTCAGTTTGAATGGGGCTCTACGCGACGCGACGCTACGCGCTGGCTGGAGCTGGAGAGCAGGGCGGTAGAGGGCCCTGCGCTGCTCCGCGTACTCCGCGACGCCGGATATCCGGAAAACATCTCTCGCCTTTGAGCGGGCGGGCGGAACGGAAGGTAACTATATGTCTGCGGGCTGCACACGCCGACACGGCCAGCGACACGCGCGCCGACAAGGAGGCTCTTCGCGTGACGGCCCGCCGGCCTGGCCATGCCGTGGCGCGCCCCGGTGCCCGCAAAAATATGTGACGCCGTGTCGCCGTTGGTGCCGGCGTGACGCATGGGCTTGACAGCCGCCAGCAGGGCCCGGCGGCGGCCCGGCCGCCCAGCGCCATCGGGGCCCGTAATGGCGGCTGTGGCCGCGGCGGCCCAGGACCACACGCGCGCCATGGGAATTGGGCCCCAAGCTAGGAAAAGCCGATCCTCCTCGCTCACCTCTTCACGACGCGCCGACCAATCAAGGGGCAGCGCGCACACACACACACACTCACACAGACGGCGTCGCGGCCAGAGTCAAGCCGAGCCGAGGCGAGCCCAAGTCGCTGATCCGCGACGAGCCGAGCCATTAGTGTCTGTTTCACCTCCTCCCCTGCGAGGATCGCGGCGCCGTGTGTGTGTGTGTGTGTCTGTGTGTGTGTGTGTGTCTGTGTGTGTGTGTCGGTGCTGTGGCGGATGGATGATAGCTGCGCTCGCGGCGCGGCGGCTCGAGCAGCTGCACGACGCAGAAGCTCCGCCCCGCCGCGCCGGCCTGCCCGGCCTGCCCCCTTCCACTTCATCCGTCCCATATAATGCACTTTACACTAATAAACTGTGAAATATTAATCAAGTCTCCGGGAAGTTTATTAATGAACGCAGCTTCCCCTGCTTTGGCGCTGCTTGGCCGTCGCGACGCTGACGGCCACGACGTCGTCGAGACGTGATGGCGCCGTTTTTCGAACGCACCCACGCAGCAGCCTCGTCTAACGACCTGTCATTACAAGCCAATCTGGAACGCACCCCACGCGTCGCGCGGCCACGCCACGCCACGCCACGCCGTCCTGCCCGGTGACAATCACGCTCGGCAGAGCGCGGCGGTACGGCACGGCGGGCGCGCGCTCGCACACGCACACGGTGAAAAAAAATGTTGGGTAGGTGGTAGATTCGATCCCGTGCGCGACGGTTTATAGGGCAATCCGCACAATGGGTGCTGCGCGGGGCAGCATGGCGGACACTGCGGACACCGTGGCGTGTCGATGACAGATTGTCCGCGCCGTACCGGGCCGCACAGGCCGCACGTGGCGCCGCGTCCATCGCCTGTCGCCGCGCCATCGCTAAAAGTGACAATCGGTCACGTGAGCGCAACGCCAGCGCCACGCGGACGACGGAAAGCTGTCGACGACACAAAGCTATCCGGCGGCGCATCGGGTAGAGTACCGTGCTGGCACGCCTGGCTAACCAAAAGTTTTTCTCTTTTCAGCGTGAGCTCGTTGCTGACGGCGCCCAGCACCACGCCACCGGGGGCGGACTCGGCCGGCTCGGAGCACAGCGGCCGCGACCGGGACGCCGTCAACGGGCGGCCCGGCTACGAGACGCAGCTCTCGTCGCCGCAAACCTCCCCCGTGCCCTCGGGCGCGTTGCAGCCGCTGTCGCCGCTCGCCGGCCGGCCGAGCCCTGGCGTCCCCGGAGCCCCCGGCCACACCCCGCCGGGCATGCCGCCCTACAACTTCCTGGCGGCGCTGGCCGCCAACTCGGCGCCGCAGTGCTTCCCCTTCCTGCCCAGGATGCCGTCGGCGCACGCCCCGCACAACGCGCCGCCGCCGGGCCTGCCGCCGGGCCTCGGCCACGGACACCCGTACCCGCTGGCCGAGGACGTGGTGCTGGCCGCGGCCATCGCCGCGCACTACCACGGCCACCACCCCGCCATGGTGCCCCGGCCCATGAGGCCCATCCCCATGGAGGACGACGGCGTCGTGGACGACCCCAAGGTCACCCTGGAGAGCAAGGACCTGTGGGACAAGTTCCACAAGCTGGGCACCGAGATGGTCATCACGAAGAGCGGCCGGTGAGTCTCTTTCTAGGCCAAACTTCTCATCGCGTGAATGAATGGATGGTGTACCGGAAGGCCACCGCGCCCCTTCCTGGTTCTCGTCGTGGATTTCGTGCATTCGAAAGCAGCGCCGCAGTGCCGTGCCGTGCCGAGCCGAGCCCCGCGGGCCATTAAAAAGCCTGCTTGAGACGGGACGCCGAGGCGCGCGAAGGCAGCCGACAAGCCCATGGCAGGCATGGCAGGCAGGGCAGCCCAGCCCAGCCCAGCCCAGGGCCCAGAAAGCAACGGGGGCACGGCGCCATGCATGCGGTTCACTGCGGCGCCGCCGCGCACCGTTCTAAAAATATTGCTTTGCGCGCAAAAGTTTTGGAACCTGTCTACACTGTACACTGTGCGGCAGTGATTAACGGGATGATAATTAGCGCGCCTGGTCCTGGTGTCTGTGTCTGGCCTATGTGTGTGGCTGCGAGTACGCACTGTGTGTGTGTGTGTGTGTGTGTGTGCCGCGTGAGTGTGTGCGTGATTCCTCGTGCGCCGCCGCCTCGCCGCACGTATAGCGCACACCTCATCGAAGCAGGCGAAGCAGGCGAAGCAGGTCACCCCTTTTCCTCTATGCGTATCGATTGCCTCCATTGCCTGGGCCGCGCCGCGCCACCAACGCAATACGTCGATGCTCCGGCACCGCCACGATACCGTGTGCGCCGTGCGCTCGCGTGGGCGTGTAAGTGTCTCTGTGTCTCTGTGTGTGTGTGTGACGCTCTACAGCGCTCTCGCGGAGGCCATCGATCCGAGAGAGCGCGTCGCACGCGGAACACGGCGACGCCCCGCCCCGCCCCCCGCGCCGCCCCCGCGACGCCAACGCCGCCGTTGTTCGCCCAAATAAGTGCGGGCGGCCCCCTTTCTGGAGTCCAGTGGCAGCTAAACGGGTGTTCGGTGTGGCACCCCCAAGGCGTCCTTGGGCGACACGCCGCGCCGCTGCGCCGCCGCGCCGCCACACGCGATGCCCCTCGTCTCGCACGCCAGCCAGCGCATTTGCTTTACATTACCCCTCTTTGAGGCGAAAAATAACACAAAGAGCGCCGACCGCGGTCTATACATGCCATTATGGTATTTTTCGCGCGCCTCGTTTTCTGCTTATACCATTTTCACACAAGCAGACAATCAGACGGACGGACGGACGGACGTTTTGGCGCGCGGGTCGAGCCGTGCGGATGTTGATCGACAGTGTGTTGGATGAGGGAACAACACACGCCAGTGGGCTCCGCGTGCTGGCTGGAGGGGCTGCCGGGGCCGACCAATCATGCGCGTTGCTGGAGCGCGGTCGGCGTGGACGGGCGTCCCGGGTCGGCCGGTCGGCCCGACAACCAAATCAGAACCGGACGAACGTGCTGACCGTGCTGACGGACGCGAAAGAAGAGTGGAGAAACAGTTCATTCACGCACATTGAGATCCGCCCATCACAGCCATCCGTGGTGGCCATAACGTCCTTTTGCGAAATAAAAAAAACGTGGAAAAAACGAGTTGCGACAAGCGGTACCACTTTTCACGAGGGGCGTTTTGCATTGCATCTGCCCCCACCCTCTCTCTTTCTCTCTCTGCTGACGCCGCCGGAAAATTGGACGTAACGAAGCGAGGGGGTGGGACCGTTCTGCCGCGACCCCCGGTTTCCGCCGTGACTACCTTGCCTTGCCTTGCTTGCCGTCGTGATGGCCGCCCTCCCCAACCCCTTCCCCCGCCCCGGTCCCCCGGTCCCCCAGTCCCGCCGTCGCGCTCAATGGACACTTGATTCTTGATTCGCCGGCGAGACGCTGCCGCTGCCCGCCGCGTCGTCGTCGGCGCGTCGACGGGCAGGGTGTCGGGTCGTCGCGGTCCCCTCCACCGTAAATCACGCGGGGGAAAATGATCGAAGGCGCGGTAGTATTATTCGGACGTGATAAACGCGGGGCAAAAATAATGTGCGTAATCAACGGTGCAAAAATATGAGCGAAACAAGACGAGGCAAATGTGGCGGCGGACGCGGCGGATCGGGATGGCCTACCCATTTACACGGCCGTGCTGTCATACGCCGAGAGGGGCTGCCCGTGGGGCTGCCCTGCACTCCGCCCGCCACACATAACTCATGGACAATGAGTCCCCCTTCCACCGCCTCATGGCTGCCTTTGTATGGCCACCGCCATACACACTCCACCCGCAGATGCAGCCCGCTCCCCCTCTCCCTTCCAGGCTCCTCAATCTCCAGGTAATGAACGGCCTCGGACGTGTCGGTTGGGCTACCGTCCCGGCCGCGTCCCGGCCGCTGCACCGAGAACGCCGGGGACCCTCGGGCGGCCTCGCTCCGAATTGATTATCGGTATCAATTTGCACACACACGCTGCCTCTCGGCTTGCTCGGCCTGCTCGGTGTCGACGGCCTGGATGGCCTGCTCGCGGCGCTAATCCTCGGCGGCACAACAGTCGCCAGGCCGCGCCCTCCCCGCGAGCCTGCCAGCCCCGCCAGACCCGCATTGCGGCCCTGCTGACGCCGCCGACGCCGTGCTGACGCCATTAAACTCGCACCCCCCGCGCGGCCACACGGCCACACGGCCCCGGCACCCCCACGGCGAGCTTGTTGTCGCGGCGGCGGATTAACGCGTAGGTGACCCCACCCCGCCCTGCCGACGCCTGGCTGGCTGCTTGGCTGGCCGCCTGGCGGTCTGGCTGGCGGCCTGGCTGGCCGACCGGGGCGCGTTTCGGACCGTCGTGCCCCGAGGCCGCGCTGCCGCGTCGCCGCGCTGCAGTGGCTGCAGTCTGGACTCAAGTGGCTCGCCTCTCCAGCGTCACCCTCGCGCCTCGCGCTGTCAAGGAGGCTGTCTGCCCGCCCATCCCGCTGCCCGGCCGTCCGCCCGGCCGTCCGCCTGGCTGCGCAAACAGCCGCCGGGGCAATCTTCTTGTTTCACTTAAACGCAATCACAGGTGTGTTTCGCCAGCCGGTGCACCTGCGCCCCGCCGAGCGGCCCGCCGAGCGGCCCGCCGAGCGGCCCGCGCCCCAGCCCGGCGCCGTCTCAGTTACGACGCCCGAGGCACCGAAGTCTCGCCAAAGGCTCTCCAAAGGCCCAAAGGGCAGGCAGACTCGCTAAACGCCTCGCTTAACCAAACAAAGGCGGCCATTGGCAAAAAACGACAACAACCACTCAAACCGAAAGCACTTTTGGCGCGAAAACAGCGGCAGGGCGGCCGCGGCGCATCCTTGACTCAAGTAGCAGATAGCCGCGGCCGACTCGAGGGCCTCGTCTCCATCTTCCTCCAGCCCACTCCAGATCGTGCGGTTCCATTTTCGTCGCGGCCATATTGGCTGGCTGCGCGCTGCGCCGCGCTGCCCCGATCGGCGGTGGTCTAATGGGTGAGACAACTCACACAGAGCGCGCTCTCGCTCGCACAGTCTCTCGCTCACGCACTCGGCCGCAGCCAATACCACAAAAGCCGTTTGGGCGTGGGCCGGACTGTAGGCCCCCTGCTTGATCGCAGAGTCCAGACGATTCAAAAACGCAATCAGCGCGAATCAGGCCGATGGCCAGGCGAGGCGACCTCTGGCGGCCGGCGGAGGAACCACGCTGGCCGCCCGGCCTGGCCCGGCCACGCAAAACCAGAGTGTAATAATCATTTTCTGAGGTGAGCTGCCGTCCGGGGAGATTGTTTCTCTGTGTGAGGGGGGAGGGGTAATCGGCTGTCCTCGCGCGGGGGGTAACGGGGTAGGTTGAAGTTAGCGCCATGTGTGTTTTGTTTTCGTGCATCTTCGTGTCTATAAAACGAGCCCCACCTTGCGAGCGCCTCCCCACGCCGTATATCAACTCGCTCTCATAAACGCCGTGCTGCCCCCCCCCCTCCCTTTCCCCTTTTCCGGGTCGGCCACTTACGGTGGCGGAAAGGGCAAAGCTCGAGACAAAGCGCCTTGAGGAAGTGGGACCGTGCGCCCGGCTAGCGCGGCTTGCTTGGCGACCGTCTGTTTCAAAGGCTGTGCGTGCGTGAGCGAGAGTGTGTGTGCGTTTGGCTTGCGCCTTCCTCGGCCGATCGACAAGAAACAAATCAGCAAAACAAAAGACAAGTGCCGTGCTCCACCTCGCGAGGGTTTCTCAAGCAGCAGCGCGCTAATTACGATTTCGAATCGCCGCGGCGCGCCGCCCGAGACGAAAAGGGAGTGAATGAAAAACAGTGGCTTTTTTTAGACGGTGCGGCGCGTTCCTATACGGACTCCCCGTATACGCTTTTCTCGCGCTGTTTCCGTATTCCATTCCCCTCGCGTCGAAACGGAACAAATTTCCGTGAGCGGCGCTCCTTAGGCCGGGTGGTCCGGGCCAACACGCTTGAAAATTAAATATTCCGGCGCGGACACGCTCCGTGGCGCTCTCTAGCATGGCGAGGCGGTGCGAGGCGGCAAGGCAAGCCGTGGGGAAAATGAATGGAAAAGGCGTCGGTCGTCTTAGCCTGCCGCTGCCGAGTGTGTGTGTGTGTGTGTGTGTCTGTGTGTGTGTGCGCGTGTGTGTGTGTGCGTGCGCTGAGAGCTAGTCCGACCAGTACTAGTGGGACCGGGCCTCGCACGTTACGACCTTGTAATTGCACACACACACACACACATTTCCAGGAGTGCGGCAGGCGATAGGAAAAAAAAGCTCGATAATCTTATCGGCTGATAGCGGTCATCGCTGGAATAACCAATGGCTGCATTATTTGCCATGGTGGCCGCGGTGCGCCAGGCGACATGCATCCTACTGCACGCGCCGCACGCGCGTCGGGCGGTCAACGGGCGCCCCCGGAAATCGGCCGGTATTTGTTTCCGATAATCGGTCGCGTGCCCACGGAATTTGAAACTCGCCGGTGGTGGTGGCGGGCGTCATCGTGGTGGTGGCGGGCGTCATCGTGGTGGTGGCGGCGGCGGCGTCGACGACCTCCCAGGGCAATGAGAGCGTCGGCCGTCGCGACGCCCAGCGTGATGGAGTCAACAAGTGACGGGTGCCACGTCGACGCCCTGGGCTGCCGGGG